ATTATTAAGATGGCTACAATATCCCAATCTTTGAGGCAATATTGAAAGAAAAATAATGCTTGCACTTAACAGTGTTTGACTTTTAACCCTACATATCTTCACTAGCCATATAATTAGATTTAATTAAGAATCAAAGGCGGTGCTGTTTTTGCGGTTTTCTTATTAGTAGTGTCCGAAAAACCCTACAAATTAATTTTTTTATGATTGTTACCTTGCCATTTTTTATCACTGCTTACTACCTCGTTTATAATTTTGTATTTGCACATTCCATACAGTACAACTGATGGGATGAAGAATTTTGTTTCAAGAATAGCCTTCATTGGCGCCCGCATAAGTGATAGAGAGTAAAGTATGGTAACATACCGACCATTTCACGCATCTTAAAAGCCCCGACAGTTTGGTATCCGACGAAATCTGGTCAGGGATTAAGGAGGTCCGATTGGCTTTTGTCCACTTGCCTCACCTCTGGCGTAGGCGAAATATCCGTCTATCAACAAACGATGACTTCACTGCTCAGCAATTTTTTCCAATTCGAAACACTATCATTCTATCTGGTGACTGACAGTTGGACTAAGCCGTTGTAGACTACCAGTTTGGCGTCTGTGTGATACTCGTAACTAATGGTTAAAAATTGAGTGATATCTCAAAAGTGTTAGCAATGGTGCAGCTGCATCCATTCTTTGTCTTCCCCCAACCTCCAAGTGTCTAAATCCCCCATAATTCTTTTATTCCCCTGATTTGTATATCCTTCAACCTTGTCTTCGATTCTTTGTTCTTTCCACTACCACTAATACTGTTACTACCTCTACTAGTCTGGAATTCAGTCTGACAATTTCATCTTTTTGCTAATGAGGTTTTGCGGCTTGAACTGATGGACGTACGTACGAAGTTCTATGTTGTGGCAGACTGGCTGATATATGCATCAAGTTCCACGTTGTAACTGACTGACTGCGAGTTTTTGGAGCTCGTGAAACGCAAAGTGTACACATCAGGTAAGGCACTCAACAGAAGCTGGATAGAATGGGCAACTGTACACTTGAAATGATAATTCCTAAATCATTATATAAATACTGTTGTAATAAAAAAATATAAACCACTTGATTCTTATGTAGAAACATCACTCTTTCTCTGAAAAAATCACTGAACCCGCTAACGTTTCTTAAACTATTTTCAATTCAAATTTCATATCACTGAACATCGATTTCTGTATGTATTTATAATAATCTAAACGGAGATTTCACGTCAATTTCACATTCGTTTTATTCTCCCTCTTAGATATCTACATTGAAGCAGCACTGTTGTAGTCAAAGTAATGAATTCTGACTTCACACACACACACACACAAAAACTTTCACCAAATGTCAAGCAGTAAATGTGCTCAATACTAAGCTTTCAATAGTAAAATATAATCTTTGATAAATGTAAGTTTGCACTCAATCATGTATCTATTTAAATTAAATAAAGGTCGTATGGATTATGTAATGAATTATATCAGTCCATTCGTTTTTGGATTATCATTTTTATTCATTCTATTGTTATGTTTCTGTTGGAATAAAAAACTAAGGTAAGCAAGCGTCTTAATTGAATAAATGCAACTAAAAATTTATCTCTTGTTTAGTTTGTCTCGAAAACGAAACAATGCTAGTACTGATATCAGTGTTACTCCTTGTAAGGTAAGTTTATATATAGGAAATGCTGATTAAATATTTAATACTTCTATACTGCTAGTTCTTGCAATATAAGCGATATTTTAACTCTTAATTATTTTGGCGTTTTTTTTGTTAACTTCATTTTCGACCCATTGTTAGGTAACGGGGCTCACTGATTAAAACCTCCACTTTTCATTAAGTAAGTTGCAGGTTCAAACTGCATCTCACCTCTTTCTGTTTGTTCACTTGAGCACCAACTCTGTCTATAATACAAATAATGCATAGTTCGAAGTCAGGTAGTTAGATAAATGGATTAGTTATAATTGACTTGTTTTTAAATTCAATCATCTTTGAACACATGAACTTTAAGGACAGTTTTCCCGCAATGATACGATTGATTACTTGTTATATTTAGGTAAGTTATCCAAACTAATACTTACATCAGGAAATGGATTTTCGTATCAAACAATTGTCTGGTTAACTGTATGTTACGGAATTAAGACAGAATATGATCATGAATTAAACGTGATTAAATTTCCTAAGCGAGTGGAGTAAATAAGCTTGCAGACCTCACATTTTCCAATCAATTAAGACCTGGCCATTCGGTCTAATCGTACACTACTCAAATCAATGGCCAGCGGTCTAATCGATTAGTGTTATTGTTCTGGGTATCCTTAACTTTTTTCAATATAGGCTTGTGTTAAGCAATATAATCTGCTGTTGTTTAAACAGTAAATGAATATGCATGACAAATGTGTATACTATTTTAACCAATGAAATTTCGTTATTTTGTCACCAAATTTCCCATATCCCACAACTTCAGTTGTAACATCTGTATTAATTAATGATGATCGCTTTTTTTCCCGAGACATCTAGTCCTTAAAAAAAATGCTTGTTTTAAATTCTTCTCTGTTATATTTGTCGAATAACCCAGATTTAATAAAGATGAGTTCAGGGCATTTTTTTCCCAATCATCATCGATTGCTGATTTCTCAAACTGAATTAGTAGCTATACTCGTTAGCCTTTTTTTCTAAGAAATATTTCGTATAATTCTCTGTTTTGTTGTTTCTATTTATAGAAAATAACTTATATTCATCATAAACGCTTTAAATTTAAACCGAATGGATCGCATAAAAATGCAACCAAAGCTTTTACTGCTACTACAACTGATACTGTCGATGCTAAAACTACCAAAACTACTATCATCAATCATAACAACACCAATCATGTAATCATTAAAAATTCCAATTTATTCATTGATGAAGATGATTTGGCATATGCTACTACAATTGGATTGAATACAAATATGAATAGTACAGATATTCTATCTCCTAGTAGTTATCCATTATTGCAGTAAGTTTAGTTTATAATGTTTTTTGGTTGTATTCTGCTCAAATCCAATTTTGTCGAGCTATGTTTTGTAGTGTAGGAATAGGTTGGAAGAAAATAACTAGGGGCGGACAAACCAAAACATGGCACAAATCCATGAAGTCATTGACAAGTGGACTGAGTCATGCTGGTAGATGTAGCCTACCTTGTTGGGGTCCGCGAGGTGATACTAATCGATGGTTAGAGACCTTGAATGACATGGCTCAAAATCGTTCGCAATGGCGCAAGTGCATCTATTCTTTGTGTTCTCTCAAATCCTAATCTTCTGGGTTCTTCAACAACTCTAGTTTTGTCTTTCTAACCTTATCTCACTGAATCATATTTCTTGAGTAATATCTAATCCTAAACTCTCCGATTACTTCTAATACCTTTACTACCTGTTCTACTATTGGATTTGAATTGACAATTACATCTCTGTGCTGATGTGGTATGGCAACATGAACTGATGTACTTAGGTACCAAGTTCTACGTTGCAACTGACTGACTGACTGACTGTTTTATTATTATTATTATTATTAAGTGCTCAACAGCTAACTATCTTGATGAAGTTGTTCATATTGTCAGCTGACCCCCCTTAGTCGTGAATTCCAGTATTCTTTCATACATTATTTCTTTTCAATTCATATTCTCTAGTGTTCACTGTTTCTCTCTATCATTATTACTACTACTGTCCTTAACCTTTCACTATTCATATTAATAATTTCACCTCATCACGCTGAGTAGGTATAACAGTTTCACACTAAATCACATTTGTTCCAAGTTGTAGATTGATCATAATTGAATAACTAACCCGTTTATATATAGTATGCTTCAAAGCCGAGTGTAAAATTGAAATTCTCGTTTTCCTATACAGAAGTTAAAATAAAGTATATTCACTACTGAAGACGATAAAAGTAGAGTAAGCGGACAAACTTGAGAAATTCTCAAAATAACTAAATGATTTTGGAACCCTATTTTCAGCCTGTATTCATAGTCTGTATAAACCAAAGCATTTATCAATAGAAATAAAAAAAAACTTGCTTGTTTGATTTTCATAGTTTCAAGAAGCCTATGGATCTGTCAAGGCTTATCGCCAGTTCTCCGATCGTATTAAAATCATGAACTGATCAATGTTAGACCACCGTTAAAAATCTGGAAGCAATCGATCACGGTATTGTCCCAATATGGGACACATTAATAGTGTGCATCCACAACCCTGCCAACTGGAATCGAGATTAAAAACTCCAGTCTCGCGCGCGCGCGCGCGAACGCTTAACCTCTTGACCATTGAACCAGCATTCAACATGTTAGTGTTTAAGGTCAATCGATCCACGATATTGCGCGACCAACATAATAATGCTGTAGAAATATCACTACATTACCTCAACAGATAGACAGACAGATAGATACAACGCAGGACTTCGTACGTAAGTACATCAGTTCAGGTTGCCATAACACATCAGCACAGAGACGCAACTGTCAGTTCAAATCCGGGAGTGATAGCAATAGTAGAAGTATTAGCAGTAATGGAGAAGATTAGGGAGCGAAGATATGATTCGAGAAGTAAAATTCAGTGAGATAAAGTTAGTAAGAGGAAGATAAAGATGGTGAGGAATTCAGAAAGTTAGAATTTGACAGAACACAAAGAGTGAACGCGCCTGAGCCATGTCGTTCAAGGTCTCTAACCATTGGTGGCTGTCGTCTTGCGGACCCCAACCAGGTAGCCTACATCTACCAACATGACTTAGTCTACTTGTCAGTGACTTTATGGATTTCCGCCATGTTTTGGTTTGTCCGTCTCTAACTTTCTTCCAACCAATCCCTACATCGCAAAGCATTGTTCGACGAGGCAGTCAATATTTGGAAAGTCGTAACACATGTCCCAACCACCTCAACTGATGAAGTTTCACTACTTCATCTATTGATTTGCCATCCCTACCTAGAACTCGTTTCCTAACAATAGTATTGCTTGTACGGTTGTCCCAGGATACACGAGCAACGCTTACCTTTACAACCGGAATGTGAATTGATTTAAGCCTAGGGTTTTATTCTGAATCTGCCTCACAATCATAAATAGTTAAGTAGAAAACTCATCACCATTTAAAAAAATCTTTATTGATAATACAGTCACTTGATTTATAAGATGTATAAGGCAATAGTGTAATGAAGGAGAACACAGGTGAGGGCAACCGAATCGTATTTAACGAAAATTACAGAGTTACTCAGTAAAATAGGAAAACCATATCGTAGACGGTTAATTTGCAAATCTTCAATCCATTGTCTGACATTTCACTATTCATGCATTTCATACAAATTCCATTGTGTTTCTACTCTTCCTTTCTCTCGATCTTCCCTCATCTTCTGCTGTCAGACTACGTTTTCACTCGTGTAATATACTACTTATAAGTAGCGCGCACCACAATAGTATTATGATGAAGTCATACTGTAAACTCATTAAATATATTTCATCATTCCTACTTTATTATTTTAATGATAAAATTGTCAAGTAGTGAACCATTAATTACAAAAACAAAACAAACATTTTTTTGGTGCGATTTTACTATAAACATAGTACATGAAAATAACAATTGATCGATTTACATATAATATATATATATATATGTGTGAAATCTGCTTGCTATTGAACATCATTTAAAATACAAATAACTTTTAAGCTTAATATTTTATTGATTTTATAAATGTCATCACTTATATTTTTAAACCAAAAATGAAATAGCATCTAATGGTTTAGATTTCTAATACTAACCGATTGATGTATCTTGCGATAACTGTCATCACTATCAATGATGACCTGGTTGGTGACTGATGAAATCACTACACGTATACAGAAAGGTTCGATTGGCTTTTGCCAACTTGTGTCATCTATGCCGAAGGTGAGATATCCGTTTGTTGACTAAAGGACAAGTGCATTGTTCAGCAGTTCGTGCCGTCCTAATACACGGATGAAAAACATGGCTGGTAAGAGTAGATGACATTCGTAGGTTGTTAGTATTCGATTATGGATGTCTTGTAGGATTTAATTTGTCCTACAGATGTAATTCTAAGACGTAAACGCAAATACCGCCGATGACAGAGTCCAGAGTGAAACTATAGTTAACAGAAGACAATTCGGTATTAAACTTTATCTGTTTCGGACAGTATAGCGTGTCTTTAGAAAATGAATAAAAAACATGAGTCACAGCAATATAAAATAAAATAATAACATCCTTCAATCGATAGGCCGTTCACAACAAGAAAGTCCATAGACCGGTCAGACTAGATGACGTGGTGAGCGCTTAACCAATCTGATTGGTTAGTTATGACACAACTACAATTAGTTATAAAAGAACTAACAGTCTTCGAAGCATTGCTGGCATATCCTGGGACAACTGAGTGAGCAATGCTGTAGTTAGGAAACGGGTACTAGGTAGGGATGGCAAATCAATTGATGAAGTATTCAAACTTCCTCAGTCGAGGTGGTTGAGACATGCGTTACGAATGTCCGACCACCGACTGCCTCGACGAGCCAAATTCTGTGGTGTAGGAGTAGGTTGGAAAAAAGCTAGGGGCGGCCAAACCAAAACATGGCATAAATCCATGAAGTCACTGACAAGTGGACTGAGTCAGGTTGGTGAATGTAGACTACCTTGTTGGAGTCCACGAGATGTTAATAATCGATGGTTAGAGATCCTAAATGACGTGTCTGAAGACCGTTTGCAGTGGCTCAGGTGCATTTATTCTTTGTGTTCTCTCAAATCCTAAACTTTTTTATTCTTCATCACTTTATATTTTTAAATCTATTTCACTGGATTGTACTTCTTGACTAATATCTTCTAATCCTAACCTCTCCGACTACTGCTAATACCTCTACTACTATTGGATTTGAATTGAGAATTACATCTTTGTGCTAATGTGGTATGGCAACATGAACTGATGTACGTACGTAAGTACGAAGTTCTACGTTGCTATTGATTGATTGATTGATTGATTGATTCGATTTTAAAATCTTAGGAAATTCAAACAAACTATAAAATAAGTACCACCAGCTTTAAACTTTTCTCCTAATTTTTATAATTCTTGGTTCAAAGAATTTAACCGAAAGAAAAACAGCAAGAAGTCATGGAAAAAGAAAGAAGTTACCATTATTATTGATATTATCGAGTTTTTATATCTAGCATGTTTTCTTATTTGCATTCAGAATATTTTAATTCACTGTCACGTGATTAATTTTCACTAGAAATAAATATGTATGTACATGGTTTATATTGGATGAATGAGTAATTGTTACTTTTACATTCATAGATAGAATTAAGGTGAAATTCTTTTGTTCACCAACCGTTGTTGTTGTGTTATCCTTTAGGAACAGTCTCAAGCAAATCCACTTACCAGATAGAAATATACTATTTTCTACATAGATTGCTATGAATTGTTTTAATTTAAGTGATTTACTGCGCAAACCCGAAATTCAAACTTTCAATAGCACAATATTCAGGCTTATAGCATAAATGTAATCAAAACATACTATATGTAGATGACTGGTGTTGACTTCTTAGTCCATATGAGAATGGATGAACGCTTCTCACTAATATTACTATTTAAATTCTAAGAACATGCATCCGATCCTCATACATCATGACCAAATTTCTATATACAAACATATCCGACGGATAAATGCTTAGACGCGGATTGATGCACAATGGTATGATATATTTTGTATGCCCTTACTGAATAAAGAGTTACTAAACACTACAGTATCACCGCCTTATTTACCTTTTCCAGATACACCTGGAACTTATCGCTGAAACAGTAATATGATTGAATATCCATCCAGTATTATGCGTCAGAACAGTGACACCATTATCTTTATTGAAAGGGATAAAGTTGTCAGAAAATGAACTTCATACACCTGAATTTAGAATTAGTTTTCATCCACTGGTTTTCGATAACATTTGTAGAAAGGATTTGATTCTGACCGATTTAGTCTCTTGT